TGATACAGAGTACCAAGAGGAGGAGTAAAATTCATTCACTTGGATTTGCTCCTCTCCTGCTTTACCCTAGTCTGAGCAGAAGCAGCGAAGTGTAACTGACAAGATCAGGGATCAGCACTTGTATACAGTCTATTTTCTCTTTCTTGTCCACACACTGAGCAAAACAGCTGGGGCAGGAGGGATGCATTAAAAGGAGGTGTATGTATGAACAATAAACAAACAGGAAGGGACGCAACATAGAATGGGAGAGCAAGGGAAACAACAGAGACGCAGAAAGAGTGGCAACTCCAGCTCTGAAGTTTGCTCTAGTGCAACCAAAGAATAAGGGAGAGAACAAAATCCACCAGTGTTTGCAAAATTGCCAGTTGTGAGTGGGCTAATTTGTGTTCCACACTTCTCTGCATCTTGATCTCACAGGTTTTGGTAGTGCTGCAGGAAAGGAATGATTCGTGTCACTCAGTGATGACGTCTCCAGCTGACCAAGTGACCTGAAAGGGAATCCTGCCTAGTGTTCCGTAGTTGGGTGGCTGAAATATGAATCTTTGAGGGTTTGGGGAATGGGAGATAAAGCCAGGAAGAAGAGGGGGAATTTCAGGACCGATGAAGGGAGACATGAGCTGTGGGATTGGTGGGGGGTTGTGAAATAATGGCCTTCACTTGAACAGCCCAGGTAATACTGCTCAGTTGATGGTGTTACAACCTGTAAAACCATGAGAAAGCTATATCTATAGCCAGTGGATCATGTAGCATAATTGCTGAGAGCCACTGGCACTAAGTCAGCCTCCAGCAGGTCTTATTCAGCCAGGGAAGGGCCTGGCTTCCCAAAGGGAGGTGAGGCAGAAAGGCCACATTCTTGGGTTTACTGATGAATTATTTTTCTTTCAGAGTTTGGAGGAAGAAGAGCAAGTCCTCTCCACTTCCTTATCTCTGGCACCACTCCAACGTATGTGGCTGGGAATGGACGACATTACACTTCAGAGCATTTTGATGCAAACTGAAATTTGTAAACATTCCCAAAGTACAAAGAGGATTGAACAGAGTGTGAGATCTATAAAATTATGCAGGGTGTGGGGAAAGTGAATAAGGAATTGTTATTTACCCCTTCACATAACACAAGAACGAGGGGTCACCCAATGAATAGGCAGCAGGTTTAAAGCAAGCATAAGGACGTGCTTCTTCTCACTATGCACAATTAAACTGTGGAACTCATTGCCGGGGATGTTGTGAAGGCCAACACTATTACTGGGTTCAAAAAAGAATTAGATAAGTTCATGGAGGATAGGGTCCATCAGCGGCTCTTAGCCAAGATGGTCAGAGATACAACCCCAAGCTCTAGGTGTCCCTAAGCCTCTGACTGCCCAATGATGGGACCAGACAACAGGGGATGGATCACTTGATAATTGACCTGTTCTGTTCATTCCCTTTGAAGTCTCTGGCATTGGCCACTGTTGTAAGACAGGATACTGGGCTAGATGGACCATTGGGCTGACCCAGTATGGCCGTTCTTATGTTCTGCTCCTCTTCCCAGCATCAGCACTGATCCTCATCTTAGATTTTAGGTCAAAATGGCAAGGCTATGAATAATGGAAAGTAGAAGTTTATGGAGAGACCCGAGGAGAGTGGAGACAACTCAGTACAAAAATTAGATCAAGAAAAGTGCAAAAGGAAATATTAGAGAGAAGCTTGAGCCATAACCCTAAATACCCCCGTCATAAAAATAAAGGGAAGGGTAACTACCTTTCTGTATACAGTGCTATAAAATCCCTCCTGGCCAGAGGCAAAACCCTTTCACCTGTAAAGGGTTAAGAAGCCAAGATAACCTCGCTGGTACCAGACCAAAATGACCAATGAGGAGACAAGATACTTTCAAATCGAGGGGCGGGGGGGGGGGAGGGGGAACAAAGGGTCTGTCTGTCTGTGTGATGCTTTTGCTGGGAACAGATCAGGAATGCAGACTCAGAACTTCTGTAAAGTTAGTAAGTAATCTAGCTAGAAATGCGTTAGATTTCCTTTTGTTTAATGGCTGGTAAAATAGTTGTGCAGAATGGAATGTATATTCCTGTTTTTGTGTCTTTTTGTAACTTAAGGTTTTGCCTGGAGGGATTCTCTATGTTTTGAATCTGATTACCCTGTAAGGTATTTACCATCCTGATTTTACAGAGGTGATGCTCTTACCTTTTCTTTAATTAAAATTCTTCTTTTAAGAACCTGATTGATTTTTCATTGTTCTTAAGATCCAAGGGTTTGGGTCTGTGTTCAACTGTACAAATTGGTGAGGATTTTTATCAAGCCTTCTCCAGGAAAGGAGGTGTAGGGCTTGGGGGGATATTTGGGGGAAGACATCTCCAAGTGTGCTTGTTCCCTGTTCTTTGTTTAACACGCTTGGTGGTGGCAGCATACGGTTCAAGGACAAGGCAAAGTTTGTACCTTGGGGAAGTTTTTAAACTAAGCTGGTAAGAAAAAGCTTAGGGGGTCTTTCATGCAGGTCCCCACACCTGTACCCTAGAGTTCAGAGTGGCGAAGGAATCTTGACACCTCCAAATGTGGAAGTGTTCAAAATATAATTTTGCATATGGCCCTTTCATCACCATACAGCTAAGGGTAGTCTCAAATTCCTCCTTACCTATAAGGGGTTAAGAAGCTCAAATAACCTGGTTGGCACCTGACCAAAAGGACCAATGGGGAAAGAAGATACTTTCAAACCTTGGGGGTGGGGGGAAGGTTTTGTTTTGGTGTGTTCTCTTGGGAAGCAGAGAAGCATCAGGCCAGAAAACTCCTTTTCCTATAAACCATCCTAAAAGTCGCTCATATTACAAATTGTAAGTAAAAGACAGGCAAAGCATGTTAGATTATCTTTTGTTCTGCTTGTGAATTTTTCTTTTGCTGGAGGGAGGTTTATTGCTGTTTTTTGTAACTTTGAAACTAAGCCGAGAGGAAGCTCTGCTGTGTTTTTGAATCTTTTGTTACCCTGTAAAGTTATTTTTCATCATTTTACAGAGGTGATTTTTACGTTTTTAAAAAATAAAATGCTTCTTTTAAGAACCTGACTGATTTCTCTATTGTCCTAAGACCCAGGGGTTTGGGTCTGTGATCACTTTGTAACAAATTGGTTAGGATGTTATTCTCAAGCCTCCCCAGGAAAGGGGGTGTAAGGGCTTGGGGGGATATTTTGGGGGAATAGGAACTCCAAGTGGTCCTTTCCCTGATTCTTTGTTAAATCACTTGGTGGTGGCAGCGTACCGTCCAAGGGCAAAAAATTGTGCCTTGGGGAAGTTTTAACCTAGGCTGGTAGAAATAAGCTTACGGGGTCTTTCATGCAGGTCCCCACATCTGTACCCTAGAGTTCAGAGTGGGAAGGGAATCCTGACAGGCCCCTAACTTTAAAATAGGCCTAACTAGACCAAAAAGTGACACACTGGCCTAGTGTGTCTTAATCCCCCTCTAGTGCCTAGACTGTATGAAGAGATTTGAGTCTGATAGGATTCTGAGCGGTAGAGTTGGCTATGAATGTGGAGTACCTTTAGCTCAAGCAGCAGCAGACTGCTAAACCTCTTCATGTACTACAGGCACCAGAGGTGACAAAGACACATTTGGCCAGTTGTTACACAAACACCAGAAGCAGGGAATGGGCGACAGGGGATGGATCACTTGATGATCATCTGTTCTTTTCAGTCCCTCTGAAGCACTTGGCATTGGCCACTGTTGGAAGACAGGATACTGCGCTAGATGGTCCTCTGGTCTAACCCAGTTTGGCCATACTTATGTTCTTATGTTCACCAAACACTTCCCCATGTTTGAGGTGTTCAAAATCTTGATCTGAGTTGTCTACTTTTAGCCAATCTCTAGGAAGTACATTTTATAGCCCATTTTTCAATTGCAAGCTAATTTGGAAAAGGCTCTTTCTGCAGCAGGCTATGGGATTTCCTCTACCATAGTTGTCATGCCAGACCCATCACACCTTGGCAGCTATGGAAAACTGCAGTCCTTACCCAGGAGATCCTCCATTGATTTCAGTGGGAGTTTACACTACATACCTGCAGGATTTAGCCCTAAATATCTACGTGTGTGGGGAAATGTATCAGGCATTAGTTCTCACTGGCATTTTCAGCGGAATCGGATGCTGCCCAGACACTTGTGATTGGAGTGGGGGAAATGATGAATGGCCATTTTCGTGGGAAGAGATGATACAGGGCGTAGCGCTGGCTTGGTAGGGGCACTCTACAACCCTGAGTGATGACACGGCTCACTCCTGGGCTAGGAGGTTGGACCACAGAAGGGGTGAGCGGAGAAATCGGCGGTCGGAGCGTGACTCAGAGACAAGTAAAACTCCTGGACCTGTTCCCTTCTGCCCTCCTCCCAGCCCTATCGCCAGGCTTCACCCAGGCGGATGGGGTGGGGACAGAGGCAGGAGTACGCCCCCTTGCAGACTCCCACTAGATGGGAATCAACTGGGATTCCCAGCCCCCACCGCGCGGGTGGCTCAGGCAGGGACTCCCACCCCCACGCCCCTGGAGATGGGGGGCTAAGCAGGGGGACCCCAAGGGAGGCTCCGGGCTGCGGGGCCGCCCACGAGGGCAGCAGGCTGGTCCCCCGGGCCCAGAGCCCCCAGGAACCCTTCACCCAGCGCTGCAGCTGCGGCTCCGCGGGGGCGCCGGCTGCATCACGCCTGGGGCGGCGGGCGGCTCCGCCGGCGCTCCCCGGATCACGTGGCGGCGGCGGGGCGGGGCGGGACGGGGCAGGGGCTGGGGAGCGCTGAATAATTGAGGCGCTGCAGCGCCCGGCCTCCCGCTCCCTGCTGGCCGGCGAGAGGCAGAGTGGAGCTGCCGGTGCGGTAGGTGGGCCCCCCGCCCGCGGGAGTGAGGAGCGGCTAACGCCCCTCTCCAGCCGCCTGCAGCCTCCTCCAGCCCGGGCGGCGCTGTGCAAGCCCGGCCCCCTCCCCGCCTCTCCCCTGGATCCCCCCCCCCCCCCGCCCCGCTGGTTGCGAGGGCAGCAGGAGCTCGGAGCTGCAAACCTGCCGTTCCTAGCCGCCCCCCCGCGCCCCCTGCTCCAGCCGAGCTCATCCTCGGGCTCCTTGAGCTGCGGGTGCTGCAAACCCCCCCCCCGCAGCCCCAGCCGGGCTCAGCTCCCGCATCCTCCTCCGGAGACAGCCCGGAGCTGCCAGCCCCCCCCGCGCCAGCTGGGCTGAGTCGAGCTCCTGCGTCCTCCTCCAGTGGGTGAGTGCTGCTGAGCCCCCTGGGCACCCACCGCACGGCTCCTGGCCTGCTCTCCTCGGGGTCCCACCTCGCCTCCCCTCGGCCCGGCTGCCCGTCAGCGTTGCCTGGGATTCGGATTATGCTGGCAGGGAGAGGTGGGGGGAACAGGGGATGGAAGGAGCCGGACTGACCTGCCCGTTCTCCTGGGTGGAGGGGGAAGTACGGGGGATGGGGCGTCACTCCTGATGCTTTGGTAGCTAGGGGGTAGGGGTTGTCCCTTTCACCCTCCATAAGAGGCTCAGAGGTTGCCCACGTCCCTGGAGGGGAGGGGGCGCCCATTAGTGCTGTGGTGTTTGGGGGTCCCCTCTCTTTATGCTGGTTCCTCCCCGCCCATGGGAAGTTGAGGGACAGCCTGATCCTAGGAGGAGGAGCCATTCACAAATGGAGGGTTTTTTTGTGTGTGGGGGGGGGTGTTTTTGTTTTTGTGTGTGTCTAGGTGTGTATGGGGGGTGCAGGGTGATGTCTGGGCTCTTTCCCCCTCCTCTTCTGCCCCCCCCGGGTGCTCATTGGCCTGGGAGGGAACAGGGTCCGTGTGTTTGGAAGTCAAGGTACCCCCTCGCCTCTCCTGCCCCTGGTAAGCGCTGCCCTAGATACTGCCAATTACTAAAGGGATGCCGAGGCCTTGCACCCCTGGCTCAGAGCAGCATCACTGTTGGATAAGAAGCAGACAGCCAGGGCTTTGGATATAGGCTTCCCTACTGCTGGGAAATGAGAATCCAGCACAAGCTGAGAAGTAATTCACCTGGGATAGTGTTTTCCTGGCCTCCCATTCACCGGCGTAGCTTTTCCTAGCCTTGGCCAGAACACTAAAGAAGGGAAGGTGCTGCCTTGGTACCTACTCCTGCTACAAGCTAGGAGGAAACAAAAATGATGAAAACCAAACTGACTTCTTAATGACCTAGCCAGACTGATTAAAGAGGAGAAATGTGTATTTTTAAAAGTGCTAGTAGCCTGTACTGTAAAGGGGAGTAGAGGACACGATGGGTTTAAGGCTGATGAGCTCAGGATTAATAGGAAACAGAGAGTAAGAGAGCACAAAGTAAAAGGATAAACACAGACTGATCTGAATTAAATAATATGTACCCAGGAAAAGCGCGCGCGCGCTCTCTCTCAGAACTTGTAAGAAGAGAGAGAGAGCGCACGCTCACAGGGGACTAGTGGGACCAAAGGGAGTGGGGGATATAAAAGATGCAAATCAGGTGAGGGGAAGAGAAAATGTAAGGAAGGAAATTAAGTGAGTGAGTAGCTGGTTGCAGATATCTGGCAGGATCAATGTGATCTCCTTTGCCATCAGACAGGTCTCTACTGGAGAAAGGAACTGGACGTCGTCATCACATTAGGTGTTGTTGACGAAACACAGAACCTTAGCCAAAGGGGCTAATTTTTCTTGTTGTGAAAGTGATTCATCCATTTCTTTAAGAGATGTTTTTTGTTGATGGATTTGACTCTATTCACATCCTAGCTGTGAGTTCTCTCTCTGTCTATTTATGGGTATGTAAAATGGGAATATAATATTTATTTACCTACATTGGAGCAGTGTTATGAAGATTAGTTGATGTCTGCACAGCACTTTGAAGAGGGAAAAGGGCTATCGAAGGGCTAAGTATTATTAACAAACGCCAATGACTGGAAAAACCCAGGAGTTCTATATAGTAATACAGGAGGCAGCATGGGTGCTGTTCAAGGTGCTGAAATCTCCATTCCTGGATCAGCAAAAGGATCAACTAGATAGTGACAATGCAAGTATTAAAAAACACCTTGCATTAAACAACATTATGACTGAAGCTGGAAAAAAAATCAAGGCATTAAACATTATGACTATCACATACTACCCTTGACCTATGATTGCAAAACCCATTGACATCACTCAGAGAAGGATATTTTCCCAAATTTAGGGCTTGACACCCTCCCATCAATTTTCATAACTCCCATTGACTTTAAGAGTTATAAGAGGGTCACATTCAAGCCTGGGGTAATTCCATGATTCCATATTATTTAGTACTTATTACCACTTTTCAGATGGAATTTTCAAAAGCACTTAAGCCACTGCTCATAAGTCACTTAGGGCTTGTCTGTATGTTGGAGTAATATGCTCTACGGGGGTGTCATTTCTAAAGCACACTAACATGTTGCACATTAATTGGTACATAAAGACCCTTGTTGCACTTTAAAGTAGTACTGCTTGAAACAGCACTATGGTAAAGTGCACTAGGGAACCTTTAGCACACCCTAGCAGGGTCTACATGGCCCAATTAATGTGCAACGCATTAGTGCCCTTTAGAAATCACACCCCCGTAGACCACATTACATCACTGTGTAGACAAGCGCTTAGGCACTTTTGAATATCCAACCATCTTTAGGCCGCTTTACAAGCAGTGGGCCACATTCCACTGCGACTTACATTGCCTGCTAAATGTCAGTTTACATACCATGACTTAGTGCATCCCCACTGAGGCTGTGTCAGCAGGACTCCTGCAGTAAGAATTAAAGTTGCTCCCCAAATCCTGCAGAAACTCTAAGAAGGGCAAATGGGAATAGCCCCAGCTGTCTTCCCTAGGGATGCATCCCTCCCTCTGACACATATTAACTGCATTAATCTGGCCCATTAATGAATTAATCCTCTCAATATCCCTCAACAGTACACAAGTACATTTTACCATGGCAGGATATTTGTTCAGTGGGCCAAAATTTGTCATTTGACACTATAAGTTGGGTTGATAAAGATGTGATAAATGCCTTACAAAAGTCTAAATATGACTTAGTACTGCAGGAATGCCTGATTAAAAAATTAGCATTATCAATATCAGCAAAACATACCTTAAATGGACTAAGATCTGGCTAACAGGTTTCAAAAAGTAGATGTAAATTTGGAATCACTGAATGTTGGTGTTTCTAGTGTGATTCCACAGGGATCAATATTAGACCCAACACTACTCAACATTTCATCAATAATGTGGAAAACAATGTAAAAATCACACTTATAAAGTATGTGGATGACACAAAGATTGTCAGAGCAGTAAATAATGAGACTGATACAGGAATAGTGTATCCACTTCTGGTGCCCACATTTTCAAAAGGATGTTGAAAAATTGGAGAGGGTGCAGAAAAGAATTTTAAAAAATGATTCAAGGGCTGGAGAAAATGCCTTGCATTGAGAGAGAAACTTAAAGAGCTCAATCTGTTTAGTTTATCAAAAAGAAGATGGAGAGGTGACTTTGTTACAATGTATAAATATCTTCACTGAGAGAAAATACTGTAGAAAATAATCTAGCAGAGAATGGCAGAACAAGAACCAATGGCTGGAAGCTGCAGCCAGACAAAGTCAAATTAGAAATAAGGCATAAATTTTTATCAGTGAGGGTGATTAACCAGTGGAACAAACTACAAAGGAAAGAGGTTGATTATCCATCTTTGATGTCGTCCTATCATGACGTCTTGATGTCTTTCTGGGAGTTATGCTTTAGTCAAACGCGTGTTATTGGGGTCAGTACACAGGTAAGTGGGTGAAATGTAAAGGCCTATGATATACAGGCGGCCAGATGATCTAATGGTCCTTTCTGGGCTTAAACTTGATGAATCAGGCCCCAAGGTAAAAATCCCCACTGCGTGCTCACACACCGTTCCTAGTGGGAGCTTCAGCACATACTCTGAGGGGAGAATGAATGAGAAGCCACCTCAACTTTGAATACCTTACTTTTCCCCTCAGACTGCCTCAAAACTTTAACTTTGCCTAAAAGGAACTTTTCTTTGTATGCATCAAAAACAAACAAAAAAAAACTTATATGCCTCTTGGGCGAACACACATTTTAAACTGATCTAAATAACTTTAGGCTCATCTGACCAATGTGCAAATTCATCCCTTGTGCAGCTTCATTGACTTCAGGGCAGCAGGGAAGAATTTGTTGTAAAGGTATATACACAAGCTTGTGTTCCTTTTTTAGAAGCAGAGTTTATTTTGGACACTGTAGATCATAGTGGCTCATATTCTAGTGTGTAAATCCTGCTCACATTTCAGACTACTGACCCAAGAAACTTCTTCCTTCTTTGGATACAAAACAGTGCATTTTCTTAATCCAGAGGTTGCACATGCCAAATAAGGGCATGATCCTGCTCCCTTTGAGGACAATGGGAGTTTGGTAGTGATTTCAGTGAGAGCAGGGCCAGGCCTCAATGGCCAAATTCATTGCTCCTTGTAAACTGGTGCAGCTCCTCGGAAGTTAGTGGGTTGGCAAAGGGTCACATAGCGTTGAATATAGCCCTAGGGCTCCAGGCTAAAAATCCTTATGACATTTTAATGAAAATAGTTGAATGAACTAACTCGGACCCTCCCAGCCCCAGCCCTGAAATACCTGAACACATCTGTCCATTGTAAAACTAAAACTACCTGGAAATTTTCTGTTTAAATTATTAAATATTTTCTTTAGTAATAAGAATGTTAATAAGAATCAAGCATTTCTCATTTGGGCGAGGTGGTAGGATACCTCCAGCTAAAAGAGTAATTTTTATGTTTTTTCAGACTTGGTTAAAGAAATTAACTCCCACACTGGATCCATCACTGTAAAGTTTAAGGCTCTACGTAGGCCTGAACGTACAATCCTTTTGTGAGTAAAGCTCTCTTTGTGGGAGCTAAGGACATGCAAAGGTGCAAAATCAAAAATTATGGCAATTTTTTGGCTAATTTCTGAAAATAAGATTTATAATGGAAAGCCTCACAGAATCCAAATGAGTAGTAGACCAGATACTCATCTTAATTACCACAATGTAAACTCTGAGCAACTCCCATGAAATAATTGGAGCTACTCCTGGTATAAATGAGAGCAGATTCTGACCTAGTGGCACAAACAGAAGAGATTCATAAAATATTATTCACTCAAGCCATGAGATACTGCGGAGTTATGAACGTTAATTGAGAACAATGTTGCTAGCATTCAGTAAATGTTTTCATGACGTGTGGTTCCTGC